TGTCTTTCTTTTATAAAGTCAGAGGCTGTGGTTTCCGTCTCAATCCTCATAAAAGTTGATATATTAAAGAAGGCCATAGTCGTCTAAACCATCTCTCATTGTGATTCTAAATTGAGAAAACTTGTCAGAGACGATTGACAGCAAATTTCTTGAATTTAGTGGCAGTAAAAATATTGTTTCACGAATATTCCGGAGAAGACGAGCAAGAAATGAATATGGTTCTGTATGGATGCCGTACCGTAGACAGTGGTGGACGCTGCCTGCAAGGTGAAGAAATGGCATCAATACTAAGCAATTCAAGGCATCCACAAACTCTTGCTGTATGTTCGCTTTTCCGAATTTCTGAACAGTTTTTGTAAGACAACGATTGTGCTTTCCGGCCAAGTTTTTGTAAAAAACATTGTTTGAAATAGCTAGATTAGCCTTGGCTAGTTAATTATTCAATATTTTGGTGACAAGTTTTATTGTTACGCAGGCCAGTTATTGAATTTATCTTATATCGACAGAAAATGGTTTTCTTCAGCTCTTCAAATCCGCCAAGCACTTGGAGGATTATGCGTGTATCGACATCCTGCGACTGAAAATGCTCAATACATATAGTAAGTAGAGAATAAGCCATAGGGGTCATTACGCAATACTGTAACCGTCAAAACAGTACTGCTGCAGGTGCATGTGGTGATGAAATTGTGGATGAGGACCAGAAACTTGCAAACTCACAAATCGACCCGGAAGGTGAACTGATCGAGAAGGAATGTAAAGTGGAAAATTTTCCAAAACAAAAAATAAGCACATTTTTTGTGAGCTTTCTCTGTTAAAGTTCATTTTACACTACTTTAGTTCTTCACACATTAATGCTGTAGTGTTCTTTAGCGAGAAGCATAAAGAGCTGCACGCACAATCTGGGTGTGATAAAACGTTAGTAGGCCAATGCGTCCCAGTAAACGCCTCATTTCAAGACAACTACTCCTTAACTAAGGTGAACTGTGCACAAAAATGCTAAGAATGAAAGACACCGGATGAAATGATTTCAGGAGGAATCTCGTATGCTTACTGTTACAGCTTTAATAGATCCATTTCTTGCAAGCGAGGACATTTCGCACATCAGCTGTTTATTTCGTACGCCATATGATGCCACATGTGATTGGATCAGGTAAATTATCTTCAGCTACTGCCCAGCTGAACATGCGCTTGAAAATCAAGGGTCCTGCGCAACCAACTTTTCTTGTTCCCGTCTTTCATCTCTGATCCTGTAAACGAAGATTTTAATGGCATTGTGCAGCGTGAGAGGCGAAAAAAGCAAAAACGAACACTGGAAAGCCAGTCAGCACCGGTTAAGGAAATACCGTTTTCCGGTGGTCGGTGGTCCAGTACATGCAGTAATCCAGCATGACGACCACGAACTGGCCCTACACATGAAAAATACCAAAAGTTTGGATCTATATCTTTCTGTGTTTTGAAGATTTTGAGTTTGGCCATAAGGTTGGAATAACTAGAGTTCAAAGTTAATTTCGTTCAACCAAAACCACTATACTCACTGAATTAAAAGTCTAAAATCAGAAGAGTCCGAGGAATTCCTTTGCTCCTTAACCTACACTTCATTATTTTTTCTCACTGATTATGTGCGATTTCGAAACAGCCTGGCTGTGCCACTGGCTTTTAGGCATCAAACTTGTTATAAAAGCCAGTTGCGGCAGCATTTCCCGGATGATTATACGATACAGTCAAGAACCGAACTCCAGCTGAAAAATGGAACAACTGTGGGCATCGATTGTAAGTACGGTTAAAGTCTTTTTACATTCAATGTAAGGAAACTGTTGATTGCCTTCGGCATAAGGAATCGTTTGATCAGGACTACAACAAAAATCCGAGCTGTAAATCCATTTAACGTTCAACAATTTAAGGGTCAGGTACGCTGCTGTGGCATAATGGCGATGAATACATTGTTTATAAGTGCTTGGACGCCAATGAAGACGGGACATGCGATCAGGTTCCAATTCATACTTCTAAACTCTTGTGTGACAGTTTCTTCTTACTGGTTACAAAAAAAGTTTGAAATTACACATTTCTGTTGCTTAACTAATGTGATTTTCGGATGTACTCCAATTTCCTGATCCTCTCTGCATTTCTTAAAAATTTTGAGTTTATGGTTTGTTTGATTTCGGGTTATAAATTTAGTCCGAACTAGTAGTCAAGTTTATAGATCAGAACATTCCAAAAATTTTAGTTGAATTCACATTTGTTCTAACCCACATGCGGAGGAAAATCACGTTTTAATGATTTCAGCTTCCTAAAAATTCTGGTATGCCTTTGGATGTTTTACAAACACACATACATACACAACAGCCTCGTCATTATACTCTTTTTGTATAAATCATAAAAAGCCCCTAAAAATACAAATCATACTTGATGACTTATTTTTTTCAGCACTGAAATAGGACAGGTCAGAAAGTGCATCTCGTATTCTCGTTTGTTTTTTTTT